ACCAAGAACAGGAACAGGGTCTTCTAGCAGCTTAAAGGCTATCAGATTTATTGTAGCATAAGCCTTCATGGACCAGAGCCCACTTTATCAGATGTATCTGATAAAGTGAGCTTTAGCCCATGAAAGATTATGTCACAATAAATCAGATGATCTTTAAGGTGCTACGAAATTCTGGGTATTTTTTCCCCCTGCAGGGGGAGTTCCAATGACTTAACACAACTAGCCCTATGAAATTGGCACCAAATACTTGAGGTCTGTTCAAAGAATTTGCTGCTGTTGTATAACCCAACAGAAACAGGACTGGCTTTGGCCACCTTTTCCTGGCCCTCATTTCAAGGGTCTATTTAAAACATCTGATCGATTACTCAAAAGAAAATCCTCTCCCACCTTCCTGGTACTTTTAACCAACAAACCGCCAACGTAACCAGCCGACAGCTGCATACCCAAATTTTGCACATGTTGCACAACAACAGTGTTATGCAAATGGAAGAAAATTTATTTCCACCATATTCCCTGCGGGCTAAAATTATTTTTCCATCTCAATTATACTAATTGCCTATTTGCTTAATTTTCTACAACAGTCTTCCCAGCTTTCCAAACTTCGTGCCAATTGTGCAAGCTTAGGAAATGGTATGAGATACTGTATCTGCAATTTAAATAATAGAATCATAGAACTGTGGAGTTGTAAGGGACCCTGTGGGTCATCTAGTCAAACCCAGAGCTCTCAAAATTCCTTGGAGGAAGCCATGGCTGTTTATAAAGAAGCACCACACTGCATTAAAAGTGTGGCAGCAAACTCTTCTCCCAATTGCCTGATTCATACATTATAATCTTGATGCAACAGATACTTCAGAACACATGGCTGCTGATGGTACAAAAGCAGCTAGCTCTATGGTTCAATAAAAGTTCAGTCATACATTTCGACTCCTCGTTTTTGTGGAAATATGACAGCATAGCTGAAACCAAACAAACAAGACAAGAGAATTGCTTTATCCAAAACAGCACCCACATAGTTCTGTTTTCAGGCACTTACTGTAACCTATGAATCAAACCTCGCTTTATTTGATGAGTAACTTTGAGACAGCATACGCAACAATATTGTGGGTTATAGGGTTTTATTTTCACACGGTGCTTTATTTTTCCTCCGCATCTCCTTCATTTACCTCCCTCTTCCCGTCCTTTAACCTGACAGGGTCTGTGGGCACAAGCAAGTCTAATATCGCAAGTCACAGCTCCAGATGAAGATGAATGCATTGTAGTAAATATTTTACGGGCTGCTCTTTCCCTGGCTATGCGCCTTGCATTTTAACAATCAGGCATAATTTTCAAGAGCAGACGAGCGGCTCGGAGCTGGCTGAGCTTTTCACATCTATTACTCATCCATTTCTGATATTTTTCTGCCTTAGTAACCACTGCTGACAAAGTCTTTCGACAACTCTGAACACCAGCCTTTTGTGCCACGCAGCAGAGGATGCCTGCCGAAGCCGGCATGAACACAAGCAGTGTGTTAATAAAATAAACGCCTGACATCAAGGCGTCTCCCCGGCACTCTCTTCAGTGGACAGCAGAGGGAGAAGGAGGCAACCCGCAGAATCATCTCCTTCAAGAGAGATGGGGAAAGAGTTCGATCATAAAGGGGAAGCCACACACACACACACTTCTCAGAAGCGTAGCAAAATTATGAATACTGATACCCATATCAGGGACCTATGGCTCTAGAAAAGGAACAGGCAACAGTTGGTGGTTGTAAAAAGAAAAGAAAAGAAGAGGACTCAGTTACCTAAAATAGTTTTGTGGAACTGGGTGCTTCAGAAGGTGAAATATTTCTTATCGCCACAGGAATGAGCCGCATCAGTTAATGCTTCCTTGCCTATACAACTACTAAAAGACTCGTTTCTCTTTGCTACTCTTTGCTTTGATCGCCAGAGGCACAAGTAATAAAGGAAGTCTAGAAACCACAAAAATCATTTCAAAACTTTGGGCTTGCTCTGTGTGTGCGTATATAATTTTTTACAATACAAATTGTATACGCAATTGCCTATTCTTCTAGTTAGCTCAGGCTTAGTGCGCATGACAATACTATGCCAAATTATACTTCAGGTGCCGACTCTCCAGCCTGCCCTTTTCCCTGCCTTCATGCAAAGGCGGTAATGCACGCAAAAAACGAGGCAGACAACATTAGCAGCTCATAAAATCTGTCATAATATCCTCTCCCCATTTTGGAATGGAGTCATCGCAAGGTGACTTCCGGCCCATATTGTCTATTCTCCAACCTTGTGAAAGTGCCCCATACAGTATACATAGAAGTTACCAAATCATCGAAAACTCTAGAAAACTGAGATGGGTCAAGCCATTACTGCTGTTTTTTTGGGGGGGGGGGTCGTTCTGAGGTTGTGAATTGTCAGATCTCCTGATGTCGAGAACTGATGCATTTACTGTGCAATCTCTGAGCTACTCAGAAGGTATGCACTGCATAAGGAGGACGTGGGATTGCCTATGATAGAGCACAGGCAGGTAGCCACAGTCCACCTGGTATATGGCTGAGTTGAGAAATCCCTGGACTGGGATGGATGCAATGCGGCAGGGAAACACAGGGAAGATAGGAGAGAAAGGAAAAGCCCCTGTAAACATGGCAGCATGTTTCCTGCCCTGTTGCTGGGAGAAAGAAGAAGAGTTTGGATTTGATATCCCGCCTTTCACTTCCTTTAAGGAGTCTCAAAGCGGCTAACATTCTCCTTTCCCTTCCTCCCCCACAACAAACACTCTGTGAGGTGAGTGAGGCTGAGAGACTTCAGAGAAGTGTGACTAGCCCAAGGTCACCCAGCAGCTGCATGTGGAGGAGCGGAGACGCGAAACCTGGTTCCCCAGATTACGAGACTACCGCTCTTAACCACTACACCACACTGGCTCTCAAAGTGAAACGGTTGGCAGAGATTTCCTAAATAGGGATGGAACAAGCCCCAAAAGGTTGCAGACCCATGGGTGCAGCAAGTCTGTAGGAGCACAGTCCATGTGGCAACCTGGTGATTCCGAGGCTGAACAAAGGTCCGTGTATCCAAATTCTAGCTCAACAAGTAAGGATGAGCTTCACCCACTCACAACGTAGTCCTTTTCTCCCGCTTCGCTCTTCCCTTTGGGGAAGTGGGGAGATAAACCAAGAAGCTGCAGTTAACCACAGCTTCCCAGGATGTGCAAAGTGGGGGGGGAAATAGGGTTAATGGCTTCCGAACAAGCCTGGATTTGGAATTCCACATTAAGCTCACCTGTAGCTTCCTGGTTTGTTTCCTGCTCATTCCCAGGAAGCAGGTGCAAAAGGGCTGCATGTAGGTGAAAGCTGCATGTGTATGTCCTGGCTGTGATCATGTGAATGTAGACAGCTGATGTCGGGCATGTTATGAGAAGGTAAGAGACACAGCTTACAGGTGATTAGCCCTCCCTCCTCTCAGAAAAGTACTGAATCACTTTTCCAGCAGGTGGAAAGCATAATTAAGCACTGAGCATCAAAGCAGGGGGGATAAAAATCAATGTTTTTTTAAAAAATGATATTTTTATTTAAATCAGATTTTTTAAAATTTAAATGGGATTTTTAAAATAAAATGCTTTTGGAGGAAAAAATCTATTTAAAGATAGTTTTCTATTTAAGTTACATTATAGTCCAAAGGCTATTCATCAGGAAATAAGGAATTTAAGTTTTTCATGTGTGCTAAAACGCAATCTAGTTTGTTTGTTTTTAAAAAATCATTTAACCACATCAGTTAACAAACATGGATACATATGCTATAATGTTATTGTTTTAGTTAAATGAATTGTTTCAATTGTTACTAAGGAAATGATGATTTTTCTCCTTCCAATAAAGTACAGCAGAAAAGTTGTCCAAATATAAACAGTTAACTTATTAAACCTCACAATAATTTCATAATTATCGGTCTATGTATTTCTAATAGTATAACCAAATCAATAATTTTCGATATAACTGTAAAAACTACTCTGAAAATTTATTATTCCAGAAATGAAACCTTCATCTGATTGTAAATATTAAGATTATACCAACAAGAATGAGTCTTTCTGTAAAAAATAATAATGATTTAAATCAGGTCTTACTGACTAGTGATTTAAATCATGAGTTAAATCGTGATTTTAATCGATTTGATTTAAATCAAATCCACCCTGCATCAAAGCAACCTTTCTGGGGATGCAAAAAGTTGAGCATGGCAACTAAAGCAAGGTCTTAGCAGTTCCTTTCCTTTGTTTCTGCAATAAGGTGATCGACTGATATGGGACCAAAATATAAGACAGAAATGAGACCGATTAATTAAAATAAATAAATCAAAAATCAGCTGACTCATCAATTCAGATTCTCATTAAAACTGGATACCTGCAGTTTCTGATCACACCATCTCATTATACCCAGGATATGTAATGAGGAAGTTTAAATGTCAACCATGATTCCCATTTCCATATGCAGTTTGCTATGGGAAGATTAATACTATGTGTCATTTTCTTTTTCTAATGCATCGGTACGGATGCATTTAAAATAAAAAAATCGAAACTGCCAGGCTTCTAAGTATATGATGAAGAATCTCAATACTGAGCTTGCTTAACTATTCCACTTTCGGCGAGAAAACGCTTCTCAGCAATTCTGATCCATATTGACTTGAGACTCTTCCATATCTAAAATAAGCTTAGAATACCAGGGACACATCTTTTGTTATATTTCTACAGGGTTATTCAAAACAATGATCCAAATGAAGAGGCAAATGACGATCAGTTTTCATCAGTCTCAGGTGGCTGTGTGTATTCAAACATATCTGTTTGAAGCCAGGCATCTCCAACCTGGTATTGCCCAGAAATCGTTGGACTACAACTCCCATCATCCCTGACCACTGGCAGCTGATGGGAACTGTAGTTCGACAACATCCGGAGGGCACCTGGCTGGGAAAGGCTGCTTTTAAGTCCGTGCTGTTCTGTGTGAACCAAAAGAAAATACACATCACACCTACCTCCTCGCTGTACAAGCAGCGTCACTTCGCTTCCTTTTGGGCATTCGATAAGCATATCCACCACTTGGTTGTGAGTTAGATTCTGGACATTCTTCTTACTGACTTCCACTATAAGATCCCCTTCTTTTAGGCCTCGGCACCTTGGGCTGTCAACGATTTGCTTCACTCTCTGTCCCCCGCCCCCGGGACTGTCTGCTATAGTGAAGCCAAAGCCCATCGGCCCTTTGATTATATGTACAGTTATGAGTTCAGGTTGCGTCGCTATAGAAGAAGCCAAAGAGACGGTGTCATTGGGGTAGCCGTGGGATCCGTTCGAGGAAACCTCAGCCGGGCTGCTGGGCCTGGGCTCCTTCATCCCGTTTACTTTCCCCGTTTTGCTGCCGTGACTCGCCGGGGAGTCATAGTTCTCCTGCCCGTTCACAATGATCGGTTCTTTATCCAAGATGGCCACAGAGGTCACTAGGCTCGTGTTGGGATCATCGGGGTCGAAAGGCAGAGGGTAGCCTCGGCAGAGTTCTAGATCCACGCTGGCGCCGATGGGGATCGACTGGAAGATTTTGACAACTTGAGCGTGCGTATGGCCCAGCACACACGTGTCATTCACGCTGACGATAACGTCCCCTAGGGAGCAAGCGGACGAGAAGTCTGTGAATTTACACGCCCAAGCCTACTGCATCAGCATATCATGGCATGGGGACTACCTTAGGTTTGCCGAAGTGCATCTCCAGTCATATTTTTTAAGCATGCATTTGACCAGCAAACACTCAACACATTTTGCTATGTCACAAGCTGTCTGAAAACCCCCACACTTTTATGGCAAGTTTTTTAAATTTTGTGTCGTGGGTGGTGGCTGTTTTAAGAAACGTTCTGCGCAAACCTATTGGGCATGAAGCATCAAGTGCATTTGTCTTTGGATGTCTCAGACTTTTTAATGACTTTTTAACAGCAACTGTGAAGAGGAAAAGCACAGGAAAACCAAAATGGAGTTTTGTACGAACGACAAGCAAGCCAATGTGGTCAAATGGGCAGAATTTAGAGTCCGGACCCGGGTTTCTCTGAATCCTCGGTTCCCTATCTTTAAAGTAGAAACACCATAAAAACAAAGGTGAAGGATGAAATATTGACCGTAAGTTTGATTTAAGATGGGAATCCCTAAATATCCCCAGCGCAATGAAACTTTTATAAGAAGACACAGGCACTTGCAGAGGTGGTCGTGCAGACTAACTTACTGAGAAATAACTTCAAAAGAAGGGGAATCTTCTTTTAATTTCTGGACCAAGTAGCTGGGTTCCAGACGACTACAACGCACTTAACTGCCATTCAGTGTTGCTGATTAGAAACTCTTCAATTACACCCCCCCCCAAATTAAAAACCCCCAAACCCGCCTTATAACTGTGATAATCCCCTTGTTCGTCTGGATAGAAAGAAGTGTGTGGAGCTTTTACATGGCTGGAATGTAGCCTCCTGTAAAACAGTATGAGTCAAATCAGCCCCAGCCAATAATCAGGGATGGCCAATAATCAGAGGTGTGGTCCATCGACATCTGGAGGATGTCTAGGAGCTACATAAAAGGGGTCATCAAATGTTTGCCAACCCCTTCCGGTAGAGTGCCATGTTTCAAATGGATCCCATCTAGGTACAAAATATTACTTGTCAAGCATACAACACTGTGACAAGCCTGCTTGTTTTGTTGAGCATCAGAGATTCATTGATCAAGTGGCCAAAAAATTATTGCACACTTCTGAGTGCTTATACCAAGGGAGGCTTTATTGGCCTTGTTTTATAGACTGAGGTCACAGCAAACCAATACACCAGGCGCACCCCACCCCACCAATTCTGTGTCTTAACTTGCCATTTGACCTCAGATCTTCACGGTTTAAAAGCTCAAAAACCTCCAGTCTCTGGGCCACACCAGCTGCCCGAACCTGCTAATATTACATGAGCGCAAAGCATTTGGGGAGTGTTTTTGAAGCCAGACTGACAACACTACCTGTTTCCATTTTGCCATCCAGTGCTGCAGGCCCATCAAGCACCAAACTCTTTATCTGAAGAAATTCATCCGGTTCATCCCCGCCGACGACGGTGAAACCAAAACCCCTGCTGCTTTTCCTCAGTTTGGTGTGAATGAACTTTCCTTTCAGTTCAGATGGGTTCCGTGTGAAAAACGGCTTTCCTGCTGTGGAAGTTTCAGAAGTTTATAAACATGCCAAGGAAGGAAAGAAAGAAGAAAAAAGAGACAAGCACGCCTCTCCACTACCCCCTTTTCTTAACCTTTCGCAGCAACACTATGAACTCACTTCTAAGGATGAGCAAGCTTCCAAGATTCAGAGGGCTCCTTTTTCCCCCAGGCAGGTGAGAAACTCCCGGGAAGCTCAAAAGATGGGAGTACATTCTCCCCCAAGAAGGAGGCTCAATTAAAATGCATCGCCGTGACCATCTCTCCTCGGCTAGAACTGTTACAGCAATTAATACAGTAACATCCAATCCAAAAGGAAATTAAAGGGCAGCGATACAAGTTAATTCCCACTGTAATGCACATCCTAATTGCAAAAGTGCTTTTCTTTTTAAAGCAAGACAACCTTATTAAGTACAGCCGGTTATCGTCAAAGGCCTGGCCTGCACATCACACTTAGCTGAACTATGGCTTAGTGCAAACTCATGGGTGTCCAAGGACAGCTGGCTTGGCGCGCCAAAATGTTACAATAAGCTCAGAGCTTACAATCTCCAAATGGAGAAATATTTGGCCCTCAGTTCACGTGACCTTAGAAATTGGCTCTTTGACCAGGATGCCAATCAAGATAGAACATCCACTGTAGCTGCCCATAACTCTACTTGGTACCCCCAAATTAAGATCAACCATTCAAGGCCCCACTACCTTGAGACACTGACTTTCCTGCAACTGCGTAGGGCATTTGTTGAACTAAGGTTCCAGCAGATGCCATCAGCATACTTAAGAGGGGTATTCCCCATATGGAACGCAAATGCATTTATAGAGGCAATCAGGTCAAGGGTATTATGTGCTACCTGTGGATTTGCCCCCATATACAATGCCCAGAGATTTTTAAAAAAATAATATATTTTTAACTGATGGCCCCAGGAGGTGACAGTCGAACTTTTAGCTGATAAAAGATCTTGAGATTATACACCTGGCAGCCAAATTTGCTCTGGCAGCTAAGAAGCTCATTCCGGATATGTGAATGCTCTCTAATTTTTTAAATTTTATGCTGTAAACTTTTATAGGGTATGTCGTGCGATTTCAGAGCAAACCCTTGCCTTGCCGTTTGCTGTACATTGTAAAGGCTATGCACAATAAATTGACTGATTGACTGATTGATTGATTGATTGATTGATTGGCATCTCCTCTTTGATCCCCTCTGTTCCTTTTGGTTGCCACATTGAACTAAGGAGTGGTGTGTGTGTGTGTGTGTGTGTGTGTGTGTGTGTGTGTGTGTTGGTTTATTTTGAGTGACAGTAATTGCTTTGTAACACACAGAATGTCCCTCTATGCACTAGCTGCAAATAAAATAAAATAAAATAAAATAAAATCAGGTGAAAGGTGTTAGTTAAAATCACTGCAGTTATTGTGGCGATTCCGAGGTTTAATTTAAAATCAAGGTGGATTTGACTTTGCTGGTGCCTCTGGTAACCTCTGAATTACATCATGGATTATGGACACATAATCTGTATTGTTTTATTGGTACTGTTGCTGTGGGTTTGCCGTTGCCTGTGGCTAGAACAATAAACTGATACCATACTGTATGGAGCTAAGAGGGCTCGTGGTTAAGCTCTCTTCAAACTAACCATGAGCAATAACCAAGGTTGGCTTTTGGTTACAGGTCATGGTTAGTCTGCAGAGAGCTTAACCATGAACCCAGGCACAGGCTGAGCCAAAGCTTGGCTCAGAATACATTTACAGACATAGCAGGTGTAAGAATACGGCAAGTGTAATGGCTTAGCTCATGCTAGATTGCCCTATACCAAGTCAGAACACAGGTTCATCAGATACAGTATTGTCTGGCAGCTGCTCCTCATGTTCTTGAGCTGAGATATTTCCTGATATTACAGCATGCACTGAAGAATGAATCTAGGCCCTTATTCATGTGCTCATCCACTGAACTATGGAGTCCTTTCCCCTTTAATTCCAACCCCACCCATGCCCACAACATCCGTAGGAACCAATTTGCACACTAGTATTAGAAATAACACCCCCCCATTGCCTTATAGGGCTGCAGCCTCATGGAAGAATCAAGAAAGATGAATGCTTTTGTTCTTTGTGCAGCTGAAACTGAGAGCATCGTATCTGATGAAAAGTGAGAAGGGGATACAAGGATGAACTGCTTGGAAACACGCACAGGCGAAATGCATAGGAGGGACCAAGAAACCGCAGATAATGTTATGTTGGCATTGTCCCCTCGCAAATAGCCATGACAAATACGTCTTCCCCACAGGACAGCTATGGAATTGAAAGCTGCAGAAGAATTACACACAGCGAAGGAGAATACTTTTCAACACCGCAAGGGTGAATTTGGTATTTACAAAAATAGGTTTTTGCACACACCAGCCAAGACGACAAGGTGATACATAATATGACTCTCAAGGGTGACTCAGAACACCAAAGCTTTAAGCGGTGCTAATTATTTTTGAGCCTGAATGGATTTTTGAAAGTATAAAATCACCAAGCAAGGAGATGAGTATGCCATGGGGAACCTCTGAAGAAGAGATAAGTTATGTATTTATTCACTTAAATTCATTAGCAATTTTGCCATTTGCATCTTTACATACCAGCAATAAAAATATGTTAATAAAATAATAAGAAGGCAGCAGAGTCGGTACTATTTTTGTGCCTTTTCCAACCTGACTTCATTTTTTCCAAGTGTTTCAGCCTGTGCAGCTTAGGCCCCAGTTCACACAATGGTTCTTTTCAATGAGCTGAACTCAACACGTTTTCCACGGACTGGCACATGCTGAATTTGTTTTCTGAATGGGCTCAACACATGCCGCCATCCTGACTCAACGTGTCCTAAAGAGGCATTGGCAAGTGTGCCGAACAAGCGTGAGAAAGGCAAGCGCACAGAAGTTCCTTGCGCTTGAGAGCAGCAAGCTACCAGCTTCTTCATGCTTCTCATACAATGGATAACTCCACCAGTGTATTTGTTTGGGGGCAGAGGGAAAAGCTTCAGGACAGGAAGTGAGCTAGTCCCAAGCTAGCTTGTGTGCGAGAGAGATTTCTTTGCACAGTCACATGCACTAGCACTTCTTGTTAAGTCACAGCTATTGGGCATGAGAAAGTACTGGTGTGGACCTAGCACTTGTGTGGGGCTTCAGTTCCGTGGGTTGGTGCACAAAGGGAAAATTGTGCAAAGTCAGGAACCCCTGGAAACCACCACGAGTCAGAAGCCTGCTTACTGGCATCCTACGACCTCCCCAGAGCCCAGTAATCAAGCAGATGTCTTTTTTTGCCTGCCTCTGGGATGTTCTCAGAGCCCTCACATCTCCTTCCCAGAGGTTGGTAAGGAAGGTGCAGCCATGCTTATCGGGCTTTGGGAAAGCAGTGTGAGGGCTCTGGGATGCTGTTGGAGCCCTCCTGATCCCTTCTGGAAGACCAGTAAGTGAGGAAAACCCCACCTATCTGACTGGGTTGCCCCAGCTACTCTGGGCATCTCTACTTAGCCACCCCCCCCACAAGGTTGTGATCACAGAGTGCTTGAAGGAGCTGGGTATGTTTAGCCTGGAAAAGAAGAGACTGAGAGGAGATATGACTCCCTGGTGGAGTACAGGGTCAGGTTTAAGGTGCTGGTTTTGACCTTTAAAGCCCTTCACGGCCTACGACCCTCGTACCTACGGGACCACCTCTCCCGGTATGCCCTACGGAGAGCCTCAAGGTCCATAAATAGCAACACCCTAGTGGTCCTGGGCCCTAAGGAAGTTAGATTGGCTTCAACCAGAGCCAGGGCCTTTTCAACTCTGGCTCCGGCCTGGTGGAATGCTCTGCCTCATGAGACCAGGGCCCTGCAAGATCTGATTTCTTTCCGCAGGGCCTGTAAGACAGAGTTGTTCCGCCTGGCCTTTGGCTTGGAGCCAATTTGATTCCCTCCTCCTCTTTCTTTTTCCTTTTTCCTTTCTCCTCCTGTGATGAGGCTGCATTTTAATATTTTAATGTTTCAATATTTTAATGTTGTATTTTAATCTTGTTTTTAAGTTGTATTCATTCAACTTGTTTTTATTATTGCCTGTTAGCCGCCCTGAGCCCGGCCTTGGCTGGGGAGGGCGGGGTATAAATAAAAATTATTATTATTATTATTGTCTTCAAATATCTTAAAGGCTGTCACATGGAAAAGGGAACAAGCTTGTTTTCTCCTGCTCTGGAGGGTACAATTAGAACCAATTGCTTCAAGTTGCAAATAAGGTGATTCCGACTAAACATTTGGAAAAAACTTTCTGACTGTAAGAGCTGTTTGGCAGTGGAACAGACACCCACAAGAGGTGGTGAACTCTCCTTCCTTGGAGGTTTCTAAGCAGAGGTTGGATGGTCATCTGTCATGGATGCTTGAGTTGAGATTCCTGGAAGGGACCACCTTCCAACTCTACAATTCTATCACTGAGCTAAGAAGACCCTTCCTCTAACTGAAAATCAGGCAAAACCTTTCCCTGAGCACTTCACCACACCCCCAAGGAAGGATATCTTATTAGATAATGACACTCTCTGAATCATTTTTTTATTTTCTTCTTCGTGCGAAAGAGAAATATGTATTACAGCAACTTACTTTGTACTGGAGCATCTCGAACTGTCTCCTGGTTGTTGGGAGTGTGGTTTGGAAGGGCAGGAGGGGCAAGTGGCGGGTGCTCCGCTGTCCATTCTGAGAAAAGAAAACAGACGTGCATTGGCTTTTACTCTGTTGACACCAGGGGGAAATCAGCAATCAAGAGGGACTCGACATGCCGACCATGATGGCTCTTCAAGTGCCTGGTCAACTTTCTTTGCAACCCTACAGAAGACTCATCACAAGGGGAGTCTCTCAGACCCTGCCCAACCATGGGAAGTTACAGGGGGGGAGTGATCCATCTCCCTAAACCAGATGTTGATGGAATCTGCCAGGCCCAGCCAGTATGGCTGACGGTCAGGGATGGTGGGAGTTGCAGTCCAACAACATCTGGAATCTGGAATCCTTGCCTAATGTGATCAAGGATGAGAGCGCAAGATTAACCACACGTTGGGAGTGTGGAAAATGAGGGGCAATGCCTGACTAGCGAATGGATATTTGTGGTCACAGAGGAGAGACAGATGCAGTAGTTAGGGTTAACCATCCATGCTTACACTGTAAGGCCACACACACAGCATTTTAGTGCACATTACAACTCGTTCAACCTCCCATCTGAAATTGCCTTGCCTTTTATTGGGCCTTCGTTTATTTTGAATCTCAGACAAATCTATGGAGGAGAGTGAGCTTTTTGTATGTGGCAGATCATGTTTTTATGCTTGTTTTTTTAAAAAATGATCCGGTCTCCTTGGCTCTGTTTTATACTGGCTATGTTGATGACATCGTAATCTTAAACGTTGTAAAATGCCCTGAGTGGTGGGGAAGGGTATACGTGTTCAAGCAGATGAAATAAACAATAACTGTAAGGAAAGGAGAGGCACTTAGTGCTGCTTGGCTTAGAGACAACTTGCCCATTAACCAGGCAATGCCTGGAACCAAGCTGTCTGCTGCCTTTGCCATTTTTTCTGGAGATCAGGGCAGGTGGGGACAGCTTCTCCTTCCCATTGCAGCTCCTCACGATGTGCCTGAGTTCAACTAAGCTGATTATAGTTCAAATTCATCTGTGAACATGTGAGATTATGAAACTATCTCAAACAGAGGTAAACCACTGCTTTATCTAGCCTGGTCCTACCACCTGTGATAGCTGCTCTCCAAGCTCTCTCGCAGAGATGTTTCTTCCTGATATGACTTAAAAAAACAAACGGCACACACCTGCAAGATGTGTGCCACAGGACTCTGTTCACTGCAATCACTGATCTTTCTTTGGCCACCTCTCAGTTGTCCACAGAGGATGGGTTTGTGCAAATACCCACATGGGTTTGCATCCTTTGCATTTGGAACTTTAGATCATGGATACTGAAATCCATACAGGAGAGAATGCCTTGCGTCGCACTTGCATTACTTCTGGAGCAGCTCTGTGCTTTAAAGCAGTTGCACATATCAGTTTCCCCCCTGAAAGTATTCACTGGTTTGCCTATGGTGAACACACAGCAGCAACTTGAGGAACTAGACAAGTTCTTTCTCATCCACAGACACCGAAGGGAGGGCCAGCCATTTTCAACGACAGCTTCCTGCTTGTTCTATTTCCTAATGCCTGCAATTTTGTCATTGGGTGCTGCAATAATGGTCAGCTGCTTGAAGCATTTACGCATTAAAACGAAAAGGATATCTGAACCGTCAGCGTCTATTCACATATACTCTGTATTCTACTATGCATCCTAACCCAATAAACCAATAAAGACACATTAAATATGCTGGCTCAGTTGGCACAAATGCAAGCAATGCGACGCCAACGTGAATGAACAGACGTGTGGGTTCCCAAAGCGAAGATCGGAGCTATTGCACTCCCCACTGATTCTGCTGTTTGGGGCTTAGCCGTGGTTTGGCTTAGCATTATGTCCAAACCCAGGCTCATGGTTTGCCTCTGCAAAACAAACTGTGAGTGACAAATATTGGTTACAGCCCGTGGTATGCGGTTCTGGGAACCTGCCATTTCGCTGGCTTGTGCTAAGCTGCCTGTGGGTGCTCTCAGAAGAGTACTCTTGATAGATAAATCACAACCTGCAGGACTCTGTATGGGGACTCTGCAAAGGCTGCATATATTTCATAATAGAGGCAAATGTAGTTATATTGGGACTGGTTTTTGCAGGCCAGGTTTATTAATCAGTTCTGGTGTATTTCTGTCCATGCATTGTTATCTCTCTTCAACTGCGCCTGGCTCTGTGTGGAAGGGCAGCTGGGCCTAGCCAGGAATTCAACAATTAAACAATACGAAACCTTAAGGAAGTACATGTGGTGTTTAGCAAATATTTCAACCCTGACAATTTTGCAGAGTAGTTGCCAACCTTCTGGTGGTTGTGGTGGTTGCTGCTGCTGCTGCTCAAGCTGTTTCTTCCGTTTAGCTTCCAGAACTGGGTTTTCATATTGTGTTTTCCGGTTGATGTGGCTAAAAAGAAAGATCGCCGTTAAATAAGGGAATACTTGGCGAAAACAGAAAAGAAAAAGAAAAAGAAACCTTAAGCAAGCTCAAAGACTCCTCTAACAGAAACGTGGCAGGGGGAGGAGAGAAGTCAAATGCAAGACCTGTGGACTATGTGTCAGAAAGCTGCTCTAAAGGGGTGGGGAAATGTTCACAGCTTCTTATCTGGCATGGCATCTTGAAGAGGTAAGGCTAATTCTTTCAAATACTCTAAAGTAGCACTTTATCTGCGAACAATGATATTAAGGCAGGAGAGTCCATGCAAGACAGTCATCCGATTCTCAGATGTGCAGCCATTGTTGGGTTCAGCAGAGTTTAATACGGCGGCGATATCTCTAAGATATCTGAACAACATGCTATATCATCACAGTACATGCAAGCTACTTATAAATGCTCCGGAATAAACTTTGCAAAAGCAGACTGCAGAGAGGCTTAGCTGAAAGACCACAAACAAGCCACGGACACTATTGCTGCGAGTTAATAACCCTAGCAGAAATCTCCAAAAAAAATCAGCATATGGGGACTCCAAAGTCTGCCACATAAATAAAGGATGGATGGCCGAAAATTAAAAACACCTGTGAAAAGGTTAGAAGAACAAAGCAACTCTGTTATCAAAAAGTTAAGCCAATAACTTTAAGCCATTAGTAGTCTTGCTACAGCCACTTGGAGATCTCGCTTATAGGTTACTTTTTTAAAAAAAACAAAAACAAAACACAGCTCCGTGATTCCAAAGGCAAGAGTTCTTTTGAGCATGTTCATTTTCCCTGGGGTGCTCCATTGTTTTCAACGAACCTGAGCTAGAGTCCGACTGGCACTTCCTGAATTACCACATGGCCGTGCCTGGATGACCCAACGAAAAAGAAACACAATTGGTGTCTGTCTGCCTTTGGCACAGCTCCATTGAAAACAATGGGAAAGTGCGAAAACCTGGGGATCGGCTGGATGCAATCAGATGCAATTTTAGAGCCTGATCTGCTATGATGGTGCAGTGGTGGATAGGATCAGGCCCTAGACTTTTTGAAGCACCACGATGGAACAGGTTTAAGGCGCTGTGTGAATGGCTGGAGTGGCACCTGTATCACTGCACTTGCCAAGGCTGTGGGGCACCATGCCAGGGAGGAGACAAGGCTGCCAGCACCTCATCAAGGGCACCCTGGCAGCTTTTGAACCACAAAGTATAAGAGCAGTGCAGGTTTCCTTATAAGCTAAATGCTGAAAGACAGGCCTCCCCTATTGCTCCCGTGTTTGTGCCTGTGCGTTATTCACATTAATTCTTTGGATACAAACCTTGAGCCCAATGCAAAGTTTACCCTCATGTCCATCTGGACTCCAGTCCTTGTAGCAGTTATAGAATATATAAACAAAAACTATTATCAAACAACAGCATTGCACTCACAGGGTCCAGCTCAGATTTCTTTTGGCTCGGCTCGTAATAGAAGCTCGCAACGTAAAAAAAAGCTATTAGGGAGAGGGGCTGCATTTGACAGAGCAACATTAATTTAATGAGTGCAATAAATGTGAAGGAAATAAATGCTTCCTAGGTTTCCTCTCTGTTATGAAGCACCTGGCTTGGGCCGATTCATGAGAGTCTCCGTGTCACTGCAAGCCAGCAGCCCCTTCTTGAGCCTCTGTGGGACTCCAGTGCTGTGACCCACACCTTCCATCCCAGACATTGGTGGGTGAGAGCACGTGAGGTTATTCGTAACTCTGTCATTCTCTCCCGTTTCTCAAGTGGGACCATGCAGAGCAAGTAGGAAGAATGAGCAGAACTGCTTTCCCTATTGGCACACAGATGGATGGAACTGGAAGGGAAAAGTCCATTCCCTTCCTCCAGCTAAAAAACAAACCTCCCCTGGTAGCTGCACCAGGTGAGTAATACAGCCGTTGTTGGCTCTTCTGCAGCTTCTCATGGGAGGCGCAAGTCCAGTTTTGGACTTGCATATTATGAACATATGAGCTGGTGTCAGTGTGAAGGATGATGTTGTTCCTGGTCTTGGAAAGCGCCAGCCTTGTGAAGTACGAAGTACTCCTTCAGAGGATGTACATATTGCTCAAATGCAGATAAAGCCTGCTGGGGAAGATCTCGCTAATCTAAGGCTAGGAAGCCCCCATATTGCTATTATGCATGCTTTGGAGCTGGCCTTCAGTGAGTCCTTGTACTCCATTGGGTTGCTGGAAGGGGTAGATGGAAGGGGTTGCAAGGCTCAGGTCTGGGGAACAAATGCAGACTTCCAGGCCACATATCCACCCCCCTCTTCAGGCCACGCTGCTCATCGGCCCTGCTCCATGCCCTCTCTAAGCTGTTTCTCTTGGCTAGAAGGTGTCCTTGAACTATGACGATGCCTCTTGTTTTCTGCATGTGGAGACATGTATGGGTGTTAAAACTGCTGGCATTTGCATGGTTGGGATGCAGCCAACTGCATCCACCTGTTGCCCCAACCCCTTTTGCCTCTGGCCCTGCCCACCCCTGGGGGTTCCCCAAAATGCAAGGTGTTCCTCAAGCTGGAAAAGGCTCCCCATCCCTGGTATATGAGAAGCAGCTGTACAGGCAACAAAGCTGACTAACTGAAAAGTCTGCTTCCCTACCACACACACACACACACACACACACACATGCAAACAATGTTTAGACCCCTCTCCAAAACCTCAGCGTGAGAAATGATGCCTTACCATCCTATACTGAAAATGGATCTTAGACAACAAAGGTGGAAGCCTTCAAGCTGAAGATAATCCAAATCTCACAAATGCAGTGAGTGAATGGTGATAAGGGTTTTGTCTTAGTTCTTGACTGCACTCGGCAGTTCCTCAAAATAGGTTACAAATGCTGTCTCTGGCAAGGACGAAGGCCTTGGAACAGGCAGGAAAAGGCCAGAAAAGTCAGCTGAAGTGTTTATAATAGGTTGAAATACTAGGAAAATGATATACAAGGGTACATGTGGATGTACATGCATTATAGCAGGGTATGAATGCACACGCAAAATGAGTATTCTCTCCGTGTGCTTAAACTGCTACTAGCATGGAGGTTCTCGGGTTCATGGTTAGCAGTTAGGAGCAATAGGCCTGGTGGCTATATTCAGTCATTTTTTTAAAAAAAGACTAAGGCAAAAGTGAAAAAGTACCAGTATGACCTTATCAGACCTATTGCTTGCTTCATCACCCACACAACTCTTAAATATATGTTGATCCTACTTGGAGGTAGGAATGGCCGGATAAGGAGGAAAAAACCAACTGTGGATTCAAAGGAGGAAATGACAATAGACAAGCTTGGAATTGTATTATCCTGAACATGAATTCATGCTATTCATCAAATTTGATAGTCTCATTATGCAATATATTTCCCCTATCTAAATAATGTGTGTTGAAAAAAGCTATCCCAGAAGAACAGCAATATAGTGAAGCATCAAATGATCAGGGTATCGGGGGAGAAGTGAAATGATGGTGTGAAAAGCAGAATTGTGTGAATCCTACCTTTCTAGCTCCAGGAGTTTTCTGGCGAAATGAACAACAGCGGGCCTGCCACTTACACAAGGGGTCCGTTGTGGGGGTTTGTGCGCAAAGGCACAGCTGTGCAAAGTCAGGAACCCCTGGAACTGCAAGGCTGAGGGGTGTTTACTGGGGTCAGAGAAGGTTGCAGGAAAGTCACGTTGGTACCCGTGACTTTCCCAGATTCCAGTAATCAAAGCACGGGGCTTTAGGAAGGATGCACACAGGCTCTGGAACGCTGTCAGGAGCCCTCATACTGCCTTCCCAAAGCCCAGTAAGTGAGGAAAAGCCACTGGGTGTGTGGGAAAATAAAATAAAATAAATGGAGAGTGGGCTTCTCTCACTCTGCATTCATTTATTTGTCCTCCCACCAACACCACCAGCATAAAGTTGTGATTGTGTAAAGCAAGCACAAGTTGTGGGTTTATCATATATAGATATCAGCCTGCTGGTCTTTTGGTATGGAAACTGATATGGATGTTCTATGATCTACAGTGGAAGTGTGACTCTGTTGGTTCTCCCAGTGTTTTTTGGTACCATCAACCATGGGCTGAGTGTATGTTAGGGCTTCAGTGCTGAAGTCGCATTCCTGGGAGACAGGCCCAAAGGAGTGGATCTGGTAGATTGTTGCTCTTCTCCTTGGCCAGTGGCTAATGGGGTTCTGCAAGGCTCCGTCTTGCTGGCACAATGCTGTTTAACCTCTAAATGAAGCTGCTGGGAGAGGGCATCTAGGTATTTGAGATGCAGAGCCATCAGTATGCTGATGGCACCCAACTCTCTCTCTCATTGCAAAGTTGCTGCTCATTGGTAGCCATCAAAGGCTGGATGGGGTGGAACAGGCTGAAGCATAAGGCAGTCACAAAACAGAACTGCGGGCAGTCTGTGTACTGTCTAAAGCAGGTAGAGCATGTTCTGAGTGTGGTTACAGTCCACCAGAAAGATCAGGTTCGTAGCTTGGGTGTGCTCCTTCACCCAGTGCTGTTAAATGTGTCGGTGGCATCAGTTGCAAAAGGTTCCTTATTCCAGCTTCAACTGATTTGTCAACCAGTCCACCCTGACAAAGTCAGACATACCTCCAATGGCCTTCAGACGATGTGACCACTGTAACACGCTCTGTGTGGGGTTGCCACCGAAAAATGTTTGAAAATGGCTACAAAGCTTGAAACCAGGATGCCGACAAGTACTAGCCATTTTGATTCTACCATGCTGGTTTTCTAAGATTTGCATTGATTTGTCCAGTCGCAGGCGACTCTGGGGTTGCACGCTCATCTCGCTCTATAGGCTGAGGGAGCCGGCATTTGTCCGCAGACAGCTTGCGGGTCATGTGGCTAGCATGATTACCACTTTCTATCTGTGCTCAATTCAAGGAGCTGGTGTTAACATTTTAAGTACCAAAGGGCTTGGAACTAGAGTAACTTAAGGTCTGCCTTCTCCCATACATTCCTCCCTGCATGCTGTGATCATTGCCTAGAGTAGGGGTAGCCAACTCCTGAGGGACTGCAATCTACTTTCAGAATTAAAATCTGACAGTGATCTACCCCTGTTTTTAGGGGTTCAGGTAAAAGTTGTTGACCTTTTTTATGCCCATTTTGTTGGGGTTCTGTTGGGGGGGACGACTTTTAAGGGGGAACAGGATTAGTCGCTCACTAAAACAGTGCTGTGAAACTCAGCCTTCAGCTACAGATATAAGGAGAAAATCCAGGCAGGAGAGAAGGGCCGGGACTGGGTGCTCTTAGGCAAAAGCAAAGAAAAATGAGCCCACGATCGACTGCAACCTCCCGGGGACATACCTGTTGGACATCCCTGGCCTAGAGACTTTCTCTAGATCCCTTGACCCTGGTAAACAAAGCAGCAGTAAAGATTTCCCAGCTGTGGCCTTCCACCTGTGGAACGCCTTGCCAAGTGAGGTATGTCAGCCCCCATCACTGCATTGTTTTCAGGTGGCTGGGAAAAACTTGGCTCTTTCAAAAGCCCTTTGCACGATTTTTCTGGCATACTTTCAGTGGCAATTATGAAGCATGGGGTAGCTTGGTTCTTATGTCCATCATGGCTAAGAGTCCTGGAAGATCTTGTAAGTCCCCTGCCTTACAAGCCTTTCCCACCTGGAGTGGAAGGGCGGGGCCCTGACTGACTCCAGCTACAAAAACTGAACAGACTCTTGGGCTGGGGTATCGTTTCAGGATTTTTGTTGCAGGAGGGGGTGTTGCTGTTATTGCTAATTTTTTGCACTATTGATTTAGATCTCAGTATGATTTATGTGGAAATTGTTCTGTTTGGTTGTGTGCTTTTTGATGTGTTTAATTGTTTAATTCTGTTTGGTTGTGTGCTTTTTGATGTGTTTGATGTGTTTGTGGCTACTTTTTATGTTGTAAGCCGCCTTGAGAATGGTGTCAATTATAGAAATACAATTAAAACATACGCGTGGTATGTCAATATTTGTTATTTTAATTGGAATTGTAATGTATTTTACTATTGCTTTGTTTTGGGTTGTAAGCCACCTTGAACGTTTCTTAGCAAATTAGGCAGGAATGATGATAATAACAACAACTTCCAGAGGTAAACATGTACATGCTTGTGCAATGTTTGTGTAGTTCCTCTTTCCACAGCAGCCCCTCATGCCAGGCTGAAAAACACTCCAAAGATGTCCCTGACTTCCAGAGTAACTTTTCCAGAGGCCCACAGGACTGTTGTGGAAAGGGAAGAACTAACAGGCCCAAGCACATGTGTCCAATGCTACAGACCAGCTCTTTAGATCCCAAACCATTGTTTCTCTTCTGCTGCTTTCTCATGCTGCCAGCCAATTTTTCAATGAAGCAGAGGACTTAATATAAATGGATTATTTGTGCACCATGCACACACACACACACACACACACACACACAGTGGGTTGGAAGATACTGGAGAGATTTCTTAGTATGGTGTTTAATAGCAAAAAAAGAAAAAGGAAAAAGAAAGAGAAAAGATAAATATTTCCCCTTGATGTCTCCGGCAAAATAAATGTCATGTTTTAATTATACGGTTTGCTAACGTTGGAGTCCAAGGCACCGAGGCCATGAGTTAAAACAACAAACTTACACCATGAAAGGTTAACTCTTCCAACTAAAGAAAACACTGTGAGCTGAGAGATACCAGGAAGCTCATCTATTCATTCGTACATATAATTAAATATGCATTCTTGTGGGGGTTAGCAATGAAACTAAAATGGAATCTCAATTTCTTAAGGGAGAGAGCTGCCGTCTAAATCAAGAGCAAGGCAGAATTGGGGGGTGGGGGAGAGAAGGAAGTCGTCCTTGTAAAAATGCTGCCCCCTTGCTCACTGCAGGATTCCTTCTGGGTAATGTTTGTTTCCACACATTTGGAATAAAGTCACAGTAGTCATTTTGGCTACACTGCAACGCTAGCAAAAGCAGGAATTAAAGCCCAAAACTGTGACCCAGTTCAGTTAATCTAAGAAGATTCCTGTCATTAAGAATGCCAGTTTGCTGCCATATTCAGATAGTGAATCTGCGAATCCTGTGCCCCTGCTTTTCAGACGCAGGCAATGTTTCTGAACTGGCATTTACTTAGGAACCCAGGACTTAAAACTGAGGTCTGTATTGTCTTCATTTCACAGCAACTCTTTTCAATACTCATTTTCATTAAACAGCTTACACCAGACCGCTAGTATATCATTCCAAAGCATACAGGAAATGGAGTTCCCCTTCTCTGAGGCTGAATTTGTGTTTTCTCCCTTAATTATCACTAGGGGGTGCACAAGAGCAATGCATGAGGTACCCTCCTCTCTCTCTTTCCCTTTTCAAGCATCCATACTACAGAAAGAGCCAAGTATTTGCAGTTTTATGCTGCTAGCTACATATTGGCACATAGCACCACAGCCTGTTAACGATAAATCACTCAAGGTGGCTAAATTTCCAGTGACAAATCCCCAGCTCTAGTGGATTTCCACACAGTGGTTGGATGCTGCTATCTGCAGCGTGTTAAGGGTCACATAAAAATCGTTACGGCGACAAAGTTACTTACTCTACATAGTAGACACCATATACAGGATCTTCAATCTTTTCCCAACCAGTAGGTAGTTCTGGAAACAAATGGATATTACTTATTTAAAGCATTTTACTTTCACTTGCAGATTTATCCTCCCCCGCTGCCCCCAACTATGTTTTCACATAACACTTGCTGCAATCCTAGATTATCCCAGAGCATGCAACTTTTAAGAATACGCTTTTTAAAACAATCTATTCACTCACTGTACAACACATTCATGGAAATGGCTTCTTAGGACACATTGTGCAGCTGAAAGGGTGAGGCACACACAGTCTCTTTTACCCAAAAAGGTAGTCTGTTGCAGTAAAATGAACCAAGATGCAAATATGTCATTCCTTTAGTGCAAAGGACTCCCACCTGTGCAACAGAACTTCTTGTTTTCTTCTCCTGGTGATCCCTTTCCCCAAATGCACAGGAGGCATGTCATTTTGTGCAAGTGGGGTGCCCTGCCACTAATAGGAATAACTTTGCTGGATGCAAGCCCAACAGTCCTAAGGTACAGCATCAGCTTTCACAGGTCAATCTCCTGGGAGCTTTCGTGCAGCACTTAGTTCAGTTTCAGAAGTTTTTGTTATGGCTGTCAAAATGCATTTGGATGGACATTTAATGGCAAAAAGGCTTACGGAGCCCAGAAGGTAACAGGGCCCTGAAACAAGGATCAAATGACAACAGGCTCATATTCATTAGCTATGCCTGCAGAGTGAGATTTTTGAAATTCTTTACAATAGAGAGTAACACAATTATATTGCAAAATAGGGGCAGCGTTCCCAGCAACGTCACATGATCTGGTGTCTTTCAACATGCCCAGCTGATGTCCATGTGAGCACCCCCCAAAAAAGGCAGGTCCTCCCCCAGCACCTAGCAAACTGCTAATGTGGCCCAACTTGCAGCAATTGTCTCTTAGCTCTATCTAAGCACTTCACATTTCTATCACAACTGAAAGGGATCAGAATCCCGGTGCTGACAGCATAAATCTCTCTGCACGTGCAGTCATTTTATCATGTTACAAAACCTGTCACAAAATCATTATCCCTTAATCGCACCTTAAAGTAATTTTCAGTTTTACAACTGCGGGGTGGGGGGTGGGGTGGGGAATGCAGCAAAAGGAAGATTGCTCAGGAAAAGCTAAGAGCTCCACGCCTGCAGGTTTGCAAAGCTGGAGGCGTAAATACTTCTATATGCATAATTAGTCAATGAAGAAAAACCATTTGAGCGTACATCGGAGTTTGCTTTTTTAACTTGTCTGTTTTGTTTTCTCCTGCTCTCGGTAAGAGAGAATGGCGCGTCAAAAGGGCCACAGGCACCAAAACATGAGATTTGCTCTGAAGAAGCTCTACTTATCAGAAGCAAATTGCTACCTTTTTAAAAAAAAGAAGGGGGAAAAAAGCTTAACTTGGGTACAGTGCCTAATAGCTTTAAGGAGGATGGGATGTGCCATCTTTTCCGAAAGGCAGCCATGAACAACCTCAGAAGACACGAATCCATCATTTGTCCTCTGTGGACACAATACAGATGAGGGCAATTGTGTGGGCTGTGTAGTCTGAATGATAAGAGCAATTCTTTCAGCTCACAGGAAACCTTTTCCAATGAATCACTTTTGCTTTCCCTAGTTTATGTGAACATCACAAGCCAGGACTAAGAGAAGTTTCATTTTGAATAAAGCTCCTGATACTCCACTTGAGAAGGTAGGGGTGGGGAGGGTTACTTGACTAAACACTTCCCATATGGGGGGGACGGGACCCATTGTATATAGCAAAAGTTGGTTCAGACTTGCTGGGACTCCTAGGTGTACACAATGCTCATTGTCATCTTTCAGGCTTCCCAAGGGCATCTGGTTGGCCACTGTGAAAACAGGATGCTGAGCCACCGACCTGATCCTGCAGGCTCATCTTATTACTGTAATATATTTATTTATACCCCGCCTTTCTCCCCGATGGCACTCAAGGCAGCTTACAGACAAAAATTAGAACCACTAAAAATACAACTAAACATTGGAAAAAAATCAAAGCTACATACATATATAACATTTATTAAAACCATCTCCAACAAGTTAGGTTCTTAAGAGTTAGCTAATGTGGTGCCATCCACAAGTTGCTGGACTTTGGCTGCCATCAGCCCTAAGCAAGCAAGGGTTATGAGAGTTGCAGTCCAATAACACCAGGAAGGCAGTCTTGGATCAGAGCTACATGCCTCAATAAGTCAAGCTTTCACAGGCAGGGAGTTTTTGACGTGAATACAAAACAAGAATTACCTTGTTGGAGCAAGCCAAACATCCATCTAGTCCAGTCTTTCTGAAACTTGGGTCTCTAGCTGTTTTTCCAACTACAATTCCCATCATCCCTGACCACTGGTCCTGCTAGCTAGGGATGATGGGAGTTGTAGTCCAAAAACAGCTGGAGACCCAAGTTTTGGAAACACTAATCTAGTCCAACATCCTTTTTCTCATCCTCAGCAGGGAATATTAAAACACACACTCCCCACCTGAATTCTGACATAGCACACTCCAAATAGGGTTTTAACCATGGGCTCTTCCTAAACTCATAGGGTGAATTCAAAGAAAGAAAGAAAGAGTAAGGAGATACTCTATGCTCAGCACATCAGTGTCTTTTTCAGAATCAGACCGTTTCATTGAGCTTACCTATAATGGTAAAAAATAACCAGCGTGAAAATTATTCTAAGACCACAGCAAGAAGCAATGTTTGTGAAAGAGAATTAGTTAACAGCACAATCATATATGCACGTCTACTTAGAAGGACGTCCCCATAAGACTTGTTCCCATGAAGCACATACAGTGGTGCCTCGCAAGACGAAATTAATCTATTCCGCGAGTCTCTTCGTCTTGCGGTTTTTTCGTCTTGCGAAGCACGGCTAATAGCGGCTTAGCGGCTATTAACGGCTTAGCGGCTATTAACAGCTTAGCGGCTTTAAGAAAAAGGAAACAAACTCGCAAGACGTTTCGTCTTGCGAAGCAAGCCCATAGGGAAATTCATCTTGCGGAACGACTCAAAAAACGGAAAACTCTTTCATCTTGCGAGTTTTTCGTCTTGCGAGGCATTCGTCTTGCGGGGCACCACTGTATAGGATTGCAGCCTTGAAAAGGAAAGAAAAAACACCCAACCCCTATTTTGTAGCTTGTACAACCAAACGGTTGCGCAACACAAAACAGTTATCCAGTGTGCTATTGACAGGCTCCAGCTACAATGCCATAAGGACACAAATAGCTCCAGACTGAACAGCAATGAAACCCTTATAAACACACATGGGCTAATTACTCAAAATGTATGTTTGCAATGCGGAAACTGGCTGAAAATCAAGAGAAATTATTTAATGAGTTCTGCTCCACATGTTCCTTGTTTGCAAATAAAAGGCAGGTTTCCCTCCAACTTCCCCTACCCACATCTCCCTTCTTCTTATTTTAATGCTATCCTTCTGAAGCATCTTTGGATCCCTTGAGATATAAAGAAAGGAAATGAAAGCCAGTGCTGATTGGGGGTAGAGGAGGAGTGGCTTGGAGGTGCATGTGCAAGAAAGGAAACACTTGGCAAGAATGATAAACTGGTCTTTTCTGCAGACCAGAAACAAGGGCTTTCTGGGTACAGCATTAGAAGGCAATAAAACTGCCTCTCAGAAGACCCAAATTTTGCTCTGTAATCCTTCACCAAAGAAAATCGAACAAAATATGTTTTTTTTCCCTTTTGTTAGAGTCACATGTGAGCTTAAAATCTGGGCTTTAAAAGTGCTTCCAAAGATATTACACCTTTTTTAAAATCAATGTCTAGGTGTCCAGAGTACAGTATTTTTCGCCCTATAGGACGCACTTTTCCCCCTCCAAAAATGAAGGGGAAATGTGTGTACGTCCTATGGGGCGAATGCAGGCTTTTGCTGAAGCCTGGAGAGCGAGATGGGTCGGTGCGCACCGACCCCTCTCGCTCTCCAGGCCTCAGAAAGCTCTGCACAACCCTCGGGAGACCGGCGCCACTTCGTGCCCGCCTCCCGATGGCTGCGCCGAGCTGCCTGCTGTCCGGGGGCCAGCGCAGCTCTGCGCAGCCATCCGGAGCGGGGCGCGAAGTCAGGCCCACCTCCCGATGGCTGCGCAGAGCTGCCTGCTGTCCCGGGGCGAGCGCAGCTCTGCGCAGCTATCCGGAGCGGGGCGCGAAGCCGCCTACCGATGCGCAGGTCTGCCTGCATTCCAAAGCCTGGGGAGACCCGCGCGACTTACCGCTGAGCTCCCTAGGCTTGCGGATAGCAGGCTGTTCTCAGGGCTGGGATTGCGGGAAGCTCAGGCTTCCCCCGCGCCAGCCCCGCGCCTGGGGGGGGAATAATTTTTTTTCTTTATTTCCCCCCCCCCAAAAAAATACTAGGTGCGTCCTATGGGGCAGTGTGCCCTATGGGGCGAAAAATACGGTACTTCCAAAATGTGGAAGTTGAAGCTGGCTGGAATGTCACCGAAGAGAGAAATCAGCTCTTGGTCTCCGTGTTTAGTACCTGTGCCATTTTTTTAAAAAATGTACCAAATAAAATGTTATTAAAATTCACCTTGGAGAGATTTGTCCCTGCCTTTTCTTTGCCTTTTTGATCTGAAGCATTTTGACAAACAAGTGCTAAATTCCAAAAACAAACATCAATATTGAAATTGTAAGCAATGTTGTTGATAATCCACCACCGAGGTGAAAGGTTGCTACTTAAAACATTAGAAGCTTTTTTTGGTTTTTGTTTTGTTTTCTTTCTGCCTTGAATGATTTGCATTTTAACAGGTGTGCACAGGTTTGCATGCGGCTTCTCTGGAAATTCGCACTTAGAGGGGAAAAAGACGCACACTCAACATTGGGGAAATTGCAAAGCCAATTGGGGAATAAACTTCTCATACGTCGGCTGGAGTATTGTTTCAGGGGTTTTATTGGTGGGGTTGCTGCTGTTTCTTTTTTGTATCTTTATTTTGCATCTTATTATGATTTATGTGGAAATTGATCAATTTTGTTGTGTACTTTTTGATGTTTGGTTTACGACTACTTTTCTGTTTGTAGTTATGCAATTTTTGGATGTGGTACACCGCCTTGAGCGTGGTTTTGGTTTTGGAAAGGTGGCATACAAACAAAACGATTCGTAGAATCACAGAAACATAGTTGGAAGGGTCCCTGAGGATCATCTGGGCATCACCTCCTGGACTAGCTCAATCCTGCAACCTTGGCGTTATCAGCACCACATTCTAACCAACTGAGATTGACTGACTGATATGTTACTTTACTTCTTTCTGCCCATGCGCAAACACACAGAAGGTAGTGACGTTGGCATTTTTGGTTGTCCTCACCCTGAAGAAACTTATGGCTAATTAGTAACATGTGTGACAAGCAGACTGGCCATGATTGTATCAGTGTTGTTGTTTTTTGCAGATGTAAACACTGCCATTTTTTAAAAAAGATGGTCAAGCATGTGGGAAGGGGTGGGCTGAGCCTTGCTTTGTTCACCATGACTTCTAACTGTTAAGGCAGGGGTCAGCAACCTTTTTCAGCCGTGGGCCGGTCCACCGTCCCGCAGACCATGTGGGGGGCCGGACTATATTTTTTTGGGAGGGGGGGCAAATGAACAAATTCCTATGCCCCACAAATAACCCAGAGATGCATTTTAAACAAAAGGACACATTCTACTCATGTAAAAACATGCTGATTCCCGGACCGTCTGCGGGCCGGATTTAGAAGGCGAATGGGTCGCATCCAGCTCCCAGGCCTCAGGTCGGTTTTAATACAGGGGTCAGCAAACTTTTTTAGCAGGCAGCCAGTTCATTGTCCCCCAGACCTTGTGGGGGGTTGGATTATTATTATTATTTTTTGGGGGGATGAACAAATTCCTATGCCCCACGAATAAATAAAAGGGCACATTCTACTCATGTAAAAACACACTGATTCCTGGACCGTCTGTGGGCTGGATTTAGAAGGCGATTGGGCCAGATCCGGCCCCCGGGCCTTAGTTTCCCTACCCATGTTTTAATATATAAGCCGTGTTACAGTATTTACTGCTTGCTGCACAGCACCATGAGATCCCTTTGGGATGTATATTTAGAAATATAACAAATGAGTGAATGATAAAGTAGTGGCGAGAGCCAGTGTGGTGTAGTGTTTAAGAGCAGTAGTCTCGTAATCTGGGGAACCGGGTTCGCGTCTCCGCTCCTCCACATGCAGCTGCTGGGTGACCTTGGGTCAGTCACACTTCTTTGAAGTCTCTCAGCCCCACTCACCTCACAGAGTGTTTGTTGTGGGGGAGGAAGGGAAAGGAGAATGTTAGCCGCTTTGAGACTCCTTAAAGGGAGTGAAAGGCGGGATATCAAATCCAAACTCTTCTTCTTCTCTTCTTAGTACAAGCTCCAAATAGTCAGGGGCGCACAGGTGAGCTGCCAGAGAGCCACGGACCAGCTGCAGCTCTCCAACATTTGTCCTAGAGCGTTTGGAAACGTGAACCGTCTCTTTCACCTTTCATAGAGTTTAGTGCTTCGAACACCAGGGCGCATGCTGCAAAGCAGGCCTGTTGCTCAGCGTATGGAAGAAGAATTGTTCATGAAGTAGAAGGCTCAGTGAATATCAAAAGCAAACAGAACACCCACAAGTGGGAGATGAACAAGTCAAAAGGGCGGGGTGCGCCCGCCAAACCCTGTCAGCAGAAGATCTGCGTGAGGATTTTTCCACTTGCACAAGGGGGCTTTCCCCGCCTCTGCTCCCCCCTGACACTGGCTTAGGGTGGGTGGGGTGGGAGAACCCCTCAGAACATAAGGGGGATTGTTCCATCTGGCAAGCAGATATGCTTGATATGCAGATAGGTTTGTGCAGATGGAAAATTTGTAAAAGCGCAACGTTGCATTGTATCCCAAATCTCTAAAACATGTTCGGTGGAAATCAACTTCTGTTTTACTCAGAGTACATCTGTTTATTGAGTATACACGTTTATTGATTTGAATGCTTCTACTCTGAGTGAAAAAAAAGAAGTTTGTTGAATACCATCCTATAACCCTAAGTGCCAGAGGCAGCTCCTCTTTTCGGGTACCTGTCCTAAGTGTATCACTATTTTGCTCTACAGTGATACCTCTGGTTAAGTACTTAATTCGTTCCGGAGGTCCGTTCTTAACCTGAAACTGTTCTTAACCTGAAGCACCACTTTAGCTAATGGGGCCTCCTGCTGCTGCCGCGTTGCCGGAGCATGATTTCTGTTCTCATCCTGAAGCAAAGTTCTTAACCTGAAGCACTATTTCTGGGTTAGCGGAGTCTGTAACCTGAAGCGTATGTAACCTGAGGTACCACTGTATTTATATTTGCCTTGTTAACATTTTGTTAGAGTAAGCTACCAATGCTGTCAGTCTTAAGAGATCAGCTTCCACCTCGGATTCTGAAAAAGTTCATTCTCTAAGTGGGACTGGATGCATTTTATCCTTAGTAAACACACACACACACACACACACACACACACACACACAAATGCATGTGTCTGAATACTAAGGCAGTGCACAGCCTGCCATTTCATACACTGCAGCTGCTGAGCTACATTTTGAAAGGGTGATAACATGTTGTAGGACAAACATGTTTCCTAATAGGCTTTAAAGAAAGGCTACACTCGTGGCTGCTGTATCAGTGAAGGACTAACTGTTGTGCAGTAAACGGATGCAGCGTACAACCAAGAGACTTCCTGGAGAGCTGTTTGGACAAACCGCTGGCCAGCTCCATAGTTAGGCAAATCAAGTCTGCGGAGGAGGTGTGTGATGCTGCACTCAACTCTCTGCTCCTCCCTTCCTTGAGTCGGGAAGCAAACCACATGCCATCTCGAACAAGCTGCAAGCACTGGTTCAGCTGCAGGAGCTACTCAGCCACACCATGGTTTGTTTTCCCCACTCAGAGAACAAAGCGGAGCCTGCTTGGGAAGCGAACACAAGCACACAATTCATTCACAAACAAACCTCCCTAACTATGGTTTGTAGCCATCGTTACATCCAAACACAATCAAGTGTCCAATAGTGGATGGGGGACGAAGCAATAAGATATAATTGCCTGATGGTTTCAGAGATACGATGATGGCATCATAACCATGCCAGCTGCAGATCTAGTCTAGCTCGTCAGGGTTAGAAAGGGCCATACTCTGGAAATAGAACCAGGCTTGTAATCCAGATTCTGCCTAATTTCTGGAATCGGTTCTGGATTCTTAATCCCCAATGCTAAGAGCAAGCTTGATGAAATATTCAGAGTTCTGGCAGTTTCAGGTGCGGTTTAGGCCGTGTGGAACCACAGATTACCCCCCCCCCAAAAAAAAGTGGGTGCAAGAGAGGGCATGATACAAAGTTGAGTCATGGCAGAAAGCAATCTGTATGCAAGCACTGGACCCTACACTATTATGGCGGCATTCCAGACTACTGTTAGATTCACAAATCAAGTACCCAACTTCAAATGCGAACTGAATATAAAAGCAATAGTAGTTAGCGTTAATGAGAAGCATATACACATGTCCTGTAGCACAGAAACACTTTCAAACAGTGAGTTGTATCCAACCAAGTCATTAAGTGAGTGGAATGACTCCCGTTTCTGCACTGGTGTTTCCATCTCCCTGCACATACACAACCCCAAATGCTCTGGGATTTCCCCCCAACAATACAGAGCAGATTTGGGGCAGAGCGAGGGGGCTTGCAGAAACAGAAGAGGGCAGAGAAGTTTACATTGTGTGAGCTGAAGTCATTCTGCTTGTCCAATGACTTAGCCGGATTTGACCCAGAGTCATGTAGGGGGGAAAGGGTTGATGGCTCCACAAATCTACTGGACAGCAACAGCCCTGCTTGAAAATGACATGCTTAAGCAAAAACAAGCAAACAAAGAAAGAAAAGAAAACACCTTTGGATACTACTATGTTAGATCTTGCTTGAAATTAAAAGAAGAAAAAAGTGATACAAAGGAAAGGATGTTAAAGCAGTTAACGGTGCAGTCCAACCAACGGTGCAAAAATGAGAGATGGATGATTTACCTAGTTCACTGTCCAGTTCCTCCGTGTGTACCCCTTCTTCTCCAAAGGAAGAGCAGTAAGTGAGATAGAAAAAAATTAAAAGAAAAATTCAGACACCAGCACCAAGCAAGAAATTCCTTCCAGTATACAGCAGAACCAACACCAGGTTTTGTACCAACCTAGCCCAAACCCATACACCACGACACCTTAGTCAGGAGGGACACTGTGGCCACTGACAATAATACTGAAAATATTTTTATTTTATTTTTTGCATTCCAAAAGGCTAACAACATGGATCTGCTCTCCTCCCGCCCCTGCCTCCCGGCTCAATGGGGGCTGCCTGGTCTTGTCAGTTTAATTTGCCAAATCTAGAACTTGGGCTTCCCATTCATTTTGTGAATGGTGGAAAGTCTAAGATGACTCTGCCTGCATATCCCATTTGGAAAGTCCTTGTGACTAGGCAGAGCTCCAGTGCTTAACTCAGAGCCCTTGCACATGCAAGGAATTGGAGCCTCAAAAGGAAAGCTGGTGTACCTTCAACTATTTCATTATCTAAATTAAACGACCACTTCTTTTGTCCCCAAATAATTAACAACTAAACCCCAGTCCAGTTCAGCTTGTTCTTAAAGAAGAGCAGAACCTCATTAGAATGAATTGAGACTGCTCAGGGCCCATGCTCATAGGTTGGTGAACCCATCCAGCTACCTTTTCAAAGCCAAATAATTGGATAATATTAAGCTGGTTATTCAGGTGTGCTTCGAGAGTTCGATATATGTGTTGATTGCTGCATATTGGACTTTGGTCCTACTCTAGAAACTACATGCCTCAAGTATAAAGTCCTACTTTATACTTTATGGTTGCATTAAGGGACAACCACTTGCAGAGAGCTTCTATTAAATAAAGCGTAATTTGATCATCCATTTACTTATTGCATACCATTTCCATCTGCTAACAATGTTATGAATGACTGGGGATGTCATTTTGTCAAGAAACAAAATTGCAGCCAGCAAATGAAAGATGATAAAACTTGCAAGCAAATGATTGATAAAAGAATAATGGATTCGGTTTAGCACAAGTCAGCCAGAGAATCTCAGAATTTCTCCAAACATGAGATACGTCAGTGTAAAAAGATTTGTATTTTGTGGTTAGATTAATTCAAAACTGGTAATAGATAGCTGCCATATGGCAGACAGTGAATGCATCCAAAAATTATGTCCAGTTATATATTTTTCTAATGGTTATACCTGTAAAAATGGCCTGCATGATTTTTAAACACTTGCCCAAGTTGGAGGGCCCAAATAACATACTTTTTCATGTGTAACAACCCAGAGCAAATTCCTGGCACATCTAGCTCAAAGATCTCAAGGAGTATCACTGGGAAACACCAGTGAGAACCAGGGTCAGTCAGAGGAGACCACAGTGGACTAGCTGAACTACTGCAGGAGTCACCAACCTGTTGCCCCACAGATGTTTTGGACTACAATTCTCATCAGCCCCAGTCAGCGCAGGTTGCAGTCCAAGACATCAGCACGGCACCAGATTTGCAAAGGCTGACCTACTGGGCCTGATTCAATATAAAGCATAATCACAACTTTATATACTCATATGCGTAAACCATGCAAAGTTACCAGTGTTATTTCACTGAGGTCACATTCCCATACTCAAAGTTGGAAATAATAATAATTTAAAAAAGGATTTCCCTTCATTTTGCTCCACAGGACATCCTTCACAATTTAAAAAGAAGAAAATCACGGTGCACATCAAAATAAAGTAACAGTTAAGTATTTTGACATTTATACCCCCTGCCGATGCATGTATTCATTAGCTACCCCATAGGCTGCAGAAAGTAAATTTGCTTAATAAAGCAGTTGCCGTACAATCACACGTCTACTCATTAAAAATTATAATACTGGGATATATTAATTGTGCCTATTTGCTGGAGTTCACCACCTATTTGTTACCCTAGTTTTGAAATGGGAATGGCCAATTTGTGCAAGAGGACGGGAGACGTCGATGCCGAGGTAAGCCCAACTGAATTCAGCAGGACTTGCACCGAGGGAAGGGAGCACAGGGCTGCAGCCTTGAGGCTTCTCATAAAAATATGGTCTGGAGGCTGGGGTTAAAGAAACTACCATATTTTTCACTCTATAAGACGCACCAGACCACAAGATGCACCTAGTTTTTGGAGGAGGAAAACAAGAAAAAAAATATTCTGAATCTCAGAAGCTAGAACAGCAAGAGGGATCGCTACACAGTGAAAGCAGCAATCCCTCTTGCTGTTCTGGCTTCTGGGATAGCTGCGCAGCCTGCATTCGCTCCATAAGACGCACACACATTTCCCCTTACTTTTTAGGAGGGGAAAAGTGAGTCTTATAGAGCAAAAAATACAGTACTTAGCGTAGGGCAATGTGGGGAGAGCATTATTTGGAGGGACACCTCCCACACACAGGCTGGTGTAATACAAATTTCAATATAATGGAAATGCTTCTTAAAAAGCCATTTTGGAAACAAATTCAAAAAAATTGTGATTGCTAGTTTCTGAAGAACAACTGTTAATGCATCGATCAGCTAAGGGCCAGGCTAGATGTGAGAGTAGCAGTATCATTTCTGTTTGTTCAGAAGCCTGTTGGAGTTATGTATAAATAGGGCTGAGAGCAGGGCCAGCCCACCCATGAGGCAAGTTGAGGTGACTGCCTCAGGTGGCGGTCAATGTTGATCTTTTTCCCTACCTTCCGCTTGTTCCTCATGTGGATCTTCCCTGATATCTTCTTCCCTGGGGACACCATTTTGGGGTCCACCTCAGGTGTCTAATTCTAAGCTCCAATGGGACATGCAGTTGGGCCTTCCTCACCTTACCTCTCCCAGATCACTTTTGCCCCAGCGCTGCCTTAATACCCGATTCATATGCGGATGGGGAAGTGTATGAATAACTGTGCCTGCCACCATCACCTTTAGTTTGGTCCTGACACATAGCAATTTGACCTACAAGTTAAGTTGAGGGTGTTTAACCATTTTGTTTCATTTTGTTTTAAAATGAACTTAAGAATCAGGCATGTGTTGCTGCCCCTTTCATTTTCTCTCCTCTCAACTTTCTACCTGTTGTTGTTTTTTAAATTGCTGTTACATGCCCCATTTTCTTCTCCCAAGTTAAATTAAAGTAGCCGGGTTTCTTGAGTTGGAAACTGGCTGGCATCCTGAAGGTCTCAAGGGGTGCAAATATCAAATCTGATTTATGATTTCAATAACTGCTGGGAAATAACACTGCAAAATTGGAGTAACGTATATATACACACCTTTTATTTTCACTAAGATAAGCAATAATGACCATTGGATCAAAATGAAGTGATGAAGCTGCAATATCCCATACACTGTATTATACAGTGACTTAAGACTAATTGTAGGATTCTATAAGGATGGAATTAAATTGTCTTTTCCTTTTTTTTCTTCTTTTTCAGTGGCTTCACCAAGGAGTAATTTTCAAAGCAGGATAATTGTAGCTATGGTTTTAGCTGCTGCTGCTTCTTTTTAAAAAGTAATATTAACCGGCTCAGAAAAGCTGCAAGGTGATTATAGTGGAAAAATCATAGAATCATAGAAGGGACTCAAGGGTCATCTAGTCCAACCCTCTGCAATGCAGGCTTCTCTCCTAAATCACCCATGACAGATGGCCATGCAACCTCTGCTTAAAAACCTCCAAAGAAAAACAGCAAGCTGAGCTCACTGAATTGGACAATTGCTGAGGATGCTGAGAATGCCATTGTAGCTAAGTCTGCCTTCAGAGTCTCCATAGAGGCCAGAATTCTATAGCTGAGGGGCTATACAAAAATTATGCCACCTAGAACTTAGTAAGATTCTGTCCTGCATGTTGCCATTTAAAAAATGTTTATGGTACACATAGCACATACCCAGCAAGGGAAATCTGTACCAAGGACATAGTTTAGCACCCCCACCTGCATTGTGATACAAATCTGGGCCCCACTGAACCAGCTGTGATTTTGAGAGGAGAATCCGGTTCCACTCATTCCTTTGCAACCTTAAGTTAGGTAAAATGTTTTCCAGATTTCATTTCAGCGCTTACTCCCTTACCGTCATCTTCACATTCTTCTAGAGGCTTTTGCTGTTTGTTCAGGCACCGTGGGTCTAGCCAAGACGTCGTTTTAGTGTTATGGCTGCAAACCAAAAAGAAAAAGAAAAAAAGAGACCTTTGTTAAAAATAAAGTATCAGTGACAGAAAAATAGCCTGTGGCCACCATTTTGACTCATCTGAGCTAAATCCATTTTCATTTAGAACGGAGCATAAAAATTAAACTTTCTAAGACATGGCTTCCAGTCTAGTCTCTGAAAATACAGGGAGAAAAAGGAAACGATATTTGAAGATGCAATGGTGGTGGGCCCATTTGGATGGACCTACCGACATAGACTGTGTTCCTGAATGATCTGGGGCAAATCTTTCCTCTTACAGACCACTTGAAAATTAATGAGGGATGAGTTAGAATTGTAGAGTTGGAAGGGACCAGTTCACCCCCCCCCCCGCAATGCAGGAATCTTTTGCCCAGCGTGGGGGTCGAACCCACAACCCTGAGATTAAGAGTCTCATGATCTATCAGAGCTCTAAGACGTAGGTCGGATTAAAGAAATGCCTTTTACACTGATAAGGCAGTGTTGAAAAGTGCCAGGTCCAGAGCTAGCAATGTGCACATGGCACTCCTCTGAGCTGGATGGCACTGCATGATAGGCCAGATGTAAACACGGCCCTTCAATGATCCTGCTCTCCCTACCCCAGTGGTGTAGCTAGCTGCTCGGGGGCCCGATTCAGCGCATACGTCCTGCAGCTGGGGGCGGGGCGAGCCAAGGCAGGGCATGTTGCGTGGAGCCTCTCCACAGCCTCCCCCTCAGCTGTAGGGCGGCTGAAGCAGTGGGCAGACGCATGCCCCACACTGCTTGAAAAATTCCTCCCACCGCCTCCCCTACAGGAAAGACGCGTGGCTCAGGCACCCTGCAGGCCCCACGGTGTGGCGCCCAGTGCCCCCCATCTCACCTAGCTACCAGTGGTGTAGGAAGGGGGGTGCGGTGAGTGAAGGAATTATTTTTTTCCTCAAAAAAAAAAAAAAAGTGTCGTGAGCCTATTTTTTAACCCTCCCCACATATATTTGCCATTTGTCACCCCCCTCAGTGATAACACTCGGGGCAGCCCGCACCCCCCTTCCTACGCCACTGCCCTACCCCCACCAATCCACCTGGTCACCTTTCTGACACATCTAAAGGCGTGGCATTCTAATTCTTGCAGCGAATACATCATTCACCTCCTTTCCTTTCAGTAACCTCGATGGCTCAAACACGACCCCACTGACAAACAGGGAACTACATATAGCATTCCGGTTCCAGTATCACTGTAAATAGCATGGCACAGTTCCTTCCGCAAGTCTCAAAGGGGGTTTGCAACACAACCTAACCCTCCTCTGAAATTATGTGGGGGCATGTACCTTTGAAGACTTCACTACTAAACAGCAGACCCGTTCTCAAAGGATGGACTTCACAATCCCTGCCATAGATTATTGGCGATATGAAAGCTGGAGTGGAAGGTCACTGTTTCACACACTACTTTACCCACCCTCGCAATACAGAAGGCAAAAACCGTTTTAATTCTTTTGTGCACTCCAGGGCAATTAATCTCTAACTGGTAAACCGGGGCATAGAAGTCCAGCAAGCAAGTCAAATTAACAATAATGGAGTAAAAGGGGTCTGCCAAGGTACAAAACATTTTATGTCCCAAGGGGATAAAGGGATTTTTATACAGTATTTGGATAGCCTTCAGAAGTGAGAAAACAAGATGCTTCTAAGACAAACGGTGGCAGAACTTCACAAGGTTCTGGGCCTTGTGATGAATGAGAAGCCAACTTTTTAGCTTGCCACACTATGATTTGTCTGCTATTGAGGGAAATGATGACTAACTTTTGAGAAGTGCAATGCATTACCCTCTACCGCCAAACTGTTGATGCTTTGACCTGCCAGAGAATTTAACAGGGGCTCACTTAGCTTCTGGTTTGTTTGGCAAAACAGTTTGATTGCTGCAGACAGTAGTGTTTCCTAAATAAATTCCTCAACAATTATGCTTTTGTTTTCAGAATAACCGTGAATGAGTTACGGTTAAACTGCAGTTCAATGTGTGGCGGTTAGTAGCATGGCATTCAGTGCAATGCCCTTCTAAGTCGCAAGTGAGGGAAACCTGCAGTGCCCAGGAGAAAGGCAGCCCTTGGCCGTCCTTTGCCTAACTCCTTGCCACTTCCAGCACCACCACCAACCAGTAGAAGAAAGCCCCAAAGGCTGCCAGCACTGTGTCTAGTTCGGCCTCAAAAATGGGGCAACAGTTCAACCCTTCTCTCGTTTATCTGCAAGTTCAAAGAACAGACAAGAAAATGATCTCTTTACTCTATAAAGTAGACTTCTCCATTTTCTGTATAGGCCATCTCCCAGTTTTCAGGCAGAGGACCCAAGTTTTCCTCTGCACAAGGAGGTAGGTATTGAGGGAGCTTCTGAGAAGGTTCCGTGGTGGGAACAGTGGTGATACTGCTATTATTCACAGATGGGGGAGCTGAATCTCTTGTGCTGTGTGTATTGTGCTCGTCTTGTTCACCAGAGTCTGCTGCAGAAGGACACACACACACACACAGAGAGAGAAAGAATTAGACACAGTGATTATTAGTCAATGGTACATTACTATTTTCACCCTGCTTGCTTCCATAATTGTTTGAGACACTTCGTAAAAAAAACATGCAAGCTAGATCCACCAAGCTGGGGCTGTTTCTTAAGTAACCAGTGAGTAACAAAGACTATTAGATCATTCAGAAATGGAGGCATATACCGTATATACTTGAGTATAAGCCAACTCGAGTATAAGCCAAGGCACCTAATTTTGCCACAAAAAACTGGGAAAACTTATTGACTCGAGTATAAGCCGCTTCACCACACCACAAACCTGGTGGTGGCAGCAGTGGCGGAGGAAGAACAAGCAGCCCAAAAGGGCTGCTTTCAGGCTGCTTGTTTCTCCGCCGCCGCCACCAGCGGCAAAGGTGGCGGAGGAGGAAGGAGCAGCTCGAAAGGACCCTCACTCAAGTATAAGCTATGGGGGGGGGGGCTTTTTCAGCATTAAAAAGAGAGAGTAAGGAGACACTCTATGCTCAGCATATCAGTGTCTTTTTCAGAATCAGACCGTTTCATTGAGCTTACCTATAATGGTAAAAAATAACCAGCGTGAGAATTATTCTAAGACCACAGCAAGAAGCAATGTTTGTGAAACGAGCATTAGTTTTAACAGCACATCATATATGCATGTCTACTTAGAAGGACATGTTCCCTATAAGACTTGTTCCCAGGAAGCACATATAGGATTGCAGCCTTGAAAAGGAAAGAAAAAACACCCAAACCCTATTTTGTAGCCTGTACAACCAAACGGTTGCGCAACATGAACCAGTTATCCAGTGTGCTATCGAAAATGTGCTGAAAAAGTCGGCTTATACTCGAGTATATACGGTAATTACTGTATAGTTTGTAACTATATGCCTGTCTTGTCCTGTTGTTTTCACCCTTGTCTGTTTTATTTATTTTAATCCACATTTCTTACTGGGTTGTTACAAACCATACAGGAATTTTGCAAAAGGGAGGGGGGGTTAGAAATGGAAGCATGTCACATTGGAAATATCAGGTTTCAATACCATACATCCGACTGACTAGCACCCAGGGCTACTTGACCAACCCACAGATGAGACACACATTTAATTGTTCTACAGCATGGGTAGGCAAACTAAGGCCCGGGGGCCGGATCCAGCCCAATTGCCTTCTAAATCTGGCCGACAGATGGTTCGGGAATCAGCATGTTCTTACATGAGTAGAATGTGTGCTTTTATTTAAAATGCATCTCTGGGTTATTTGTGGGTCATAGGAATTTGTTCATCCCCCCCCCCAAAAAAAAATACAGTCCGGCCCCCCACAAGGTCTTAGGGACAGTGGACTTGCACCCTGCTGAAAACATTTGCTGACCCCTGTGATAGAGGAAAGATGGGGGGGGCACATCAACCAAGGAAGGAACTAGGCTCATTATCATAATGCTAAACAGTGGTTTACTATTACATCCGAACGCAGCCTATGGCAAAGTTGCTTCTTGCAAACAAGCAAAGGTGCAAGTTCCCAAAATGAAGATCGGGGCCACTGCACTCCTCTTCCAGTCTTGCTGCTACTGGACTAGAATAATAGAATCACAGGACTGTAGTGCTGGAAGGGACCCTGAGGGTCATCTAGTCCAACCCTCTGCAATGCAGGAATCTCAACTAAAACATACACGACAGACAGCCACCCAACTTCTGCTTAAAACCCTTCAAGGAAGGAGAGTCCACCACCTTCATAGGTGTCAAACAGCTCTTACGTGATTGCAGCCGCACAAAATGCCAAATGAAAATTCAAGTCCTATTTAATGTGGCCTCAATCAATTAAACATACATTCTGGTCCAAACCATGTTCACTCAGAAATCCCACTGCTTTCTATGGTACTCGTTTCCAAAGATGTGTGCTTAGGATGATAAGACCCTGCAGATCTCCTAAATATTTTGCCCTTCATTTAATCAATGGCAGGATATTTTTAATATCTAACTCTCAAAGTAAGGGATCTGAAGTCAGCTGATTCTTGCAACAGGTTCCTCAGCTGATAAAGGAATATACTAGCGGGGATGAGAAAAACACAGCCGTTTCAGCTAGGTGCCAACTTCCGATTGCTATTTTTAGCCTATCTGATAGCTGGAAAGTCAAGAGATCGCACAGGCAGCTACCCGAAGTTCTTTTCACATGCTCTGCCAAAAGCTGCGGTTCAAAGCCTTAACTGTCAAGTCAAAGAAATGGGTTCTGCTAAGATCACACTCATTCATATTGTTAACACAGGAAAATTCCCAACAGTAATAACTACAGACTTTTGTTGAGGGGAAGGGGGAAAGTAGCAAACGGTGAGCTGTGCATCCCTCAGATGCTAAAGATTTTGTGAATATGTATACGCACGAATTTTCTTGAGAAGAACCAGCAATTTACACGTCCCAATTCCTTCCCCAACCCCCGCCCATTGGTCGCCTCCTTCTTATACAAAGGCAAGCAAATAATTTACCTGTAAAGCTACTGTTCATTTCAGGGACATCATCTTCCTCTTCATTCTCCGTATGCACTATGCCAGCATTTTGCATATCATTGTAAGACTTGGTTCGCTTGGGGGTCGACTGCTTGGAGCCGGACTGGAGGTTTTGCAAAGCATCAGTATTATTCACTTTCCCACTGAGGGGTTGGCTGGGAGGCTTGGGTGTTCCATAGTAGTTACCTAGGCAACAGAAAGACATTTGCGTGTTTGTTTGCTTTTGCAGATTTCGTGTCATTAAATATTTCTTCTCTCTTTTCTCTCCCACCACCACCACTACCCTCCTCAGCTCCACCCGCCATAATCAAAGCCATTTCTCGTTCTTAGTTAACAGGAACAAATATTGTTCCCCACCCCCCCTTCCTGCCCACCAACTGAAAGAAAAAAGCATTCAAAAGATGTCGGCTGTTTTACCTTCATGAAACTTATTCATGTTTGAATTTTAAAACCAAAGAACCAAAGCCTGCCTTTTTGAGGTGCACCAGGCGTACAAGGATTAAAACAAAAGAAGACTGTGGTGAATTGGGGGCGGCGGGGGGGGGGGGAGGCCTTCATCTCATTACATTTGAATTTCAATTAGTAGCTTTGAAACACACACACACACACACAGAGAGAGAGAGAGAGAGAGAGAGAGAGAGAGAGACGGAAGCACTCACATAATACTGTGCCAGATTGAGAGTGAGCCCTGCATGAAATAAATAAAAAAAACCCTCAGTTCTTAACATCACCCAGAAAAGCGATGGAAGACTAGCATGACCTGCTTTAATAGGCATCCTCAATGGGTAGCAGTTACACATTTTTTTTTATTTTTTTAAATAAAGTGCTGTCCAAAAAAAGGGGAAAACTTTGCCAAAAGAAAAGGAGAATGGCAACACGTGGTATCTGCATTGCCAAGGCAGGCTTTTGGCTTGTCTAGGTCAGGGAGAATAGGGACAAAAGGCATCCCATGCACACATTTTTGGAGGCACACCCACCGGACATGCGTGCTCAATTACTTGGACACTGCAAACAAAACCTACATCAGAGCAGGTTTACAGGGGAGTCAAGCATACGAGGTGCCAATCCTTAAACTTAGACCACCATTGGACCTACAATTTCCACGGGTCCCTGGGAATAGGGATTGAAGCACTCTGGGAACTGTAACTCTGTGAGGGTGGGGGGTAGGGGGCCTTAACAAACAACAGGATTCTTTGGGGGAAGCCATGACTATTAAAGTGAAGTAAGAATGCTTTCAATGCAGGGTGTGGATGTGGCCTTAGTTCAGGCATCCCCAACCTCCGGCCCTCCAGATGTTTTGGACTACAATTCTCATCATCCTTGGCCACTGGTTCTGTTAGCTAGGGATCATGGGAGTTGTAGGCCAAAACATCTGAAGGGCTACAGGTTGGGGGTGCCTGTCTTAGATCCTTCAGGGAACAGGGATGGGCAGAGAGACAAGGCTTTGCAGCCTCCTCCAGAGACATGCCATGTAACACGTTTGTGTCACACGTGTGACGTCATGTACGCACAATGAGGTGTGTGTCGTCCCCCCCAATGTTGGGTGGAACTCTGCGCGTATCCATATGTAAAATCCCAGTTCCATATTGTTTTACTTTCTGACCCTCGTCACAGTCCCCTCCCCCCAACTGCAAAGAATCCTGGGAAATGTAGTTTAACCCTCACAGAGCTATAACTCTCAGCACCTTTAACAAACTGCAGGGACTGTCTTATGCTTTAATATATTCACAGTGTTCTGAAACTGTTAGGGAGTATTAATAAGGTGTGTGTTTTTAACAACAGCAAACACATTGTTCTTATTACATTTTTCTTCTTTCCTTTCTATAATGAGCTTAGGAGGACATAAAGGACTCCCCCTGTTTACTCTCACAACCACCATGTGAGCTTGGCCAGACTAAGTAAGATATAGTGTTTGAGAGTTATGGCCTAGCAGACATTTGAAGCCAGGTCCCAGGCCAACACTCTCCTCAGTTCCACACCACATTGGCTTTAACATCTTAGAGAAATTCAGAATTCCAGGTTCAGGCCATGGGAGGAAGTTTATTTCCAAGTTTCCGTGGGGTGGAGGTGGTTGTGGGGCAACGGCCCCAATCTGCTTTTAAAGGCCGGCTCCAAATCTCAATCCACCCTGTTCAAATCTCTGTAATGAAGCATAAAGTTTTCATCTCCACAGGAGGAGCAGCACCTTTAACTCATCCTTCATTTTGAATCTTGAACGCACATACATGCATTATTGATACAAAGGAAACAACTTATTCTACTAAAAGCCTTAATGGGAATAAGGAAGGTACGGCAGACCCACTTTTTATTAAGAGAAGGTATTTCTGTGCACTATATAAAGCCAGAAAAAGCAGGGGGTGGGGAGAGGGAAGGAAGGAAGGAAGGAAGGAAGGAAGGAAGGAAGGAAGGAAGAACCAACACTTCATTGATCTTTTCTTTGCTCTGTTTTATAGAGGAGACTGAGGCTGACAAGCCTGTTGGAAAAAAAATCTCCAAGCAGGCTTCTCCTAAAATGGCATAATCCCTCTAGTGCTGCTCTCGTTCAGCTCCCATATGTTTCAACAGGACTCTGAAGCTGTAGTTAACAAATGGGTTGGTATCCAAAGCAGTGAGTTTTCCACAGTAGAGTTCCTCTCCACTGTACCCTCCACTGCACTCATTGTTCAAATTTCAAAACAAGTTTTCAAAATGGTATGATGCAACGGTAACAATAGGTTGGGAAGTCTACATCCCGATTCCCATTCCTGGGCTGGGTTGAACAAATGAAATTTAGAATACTCCCAACACAAGATTCCTAGCTTACTCCACAAATTCCTACTGCTAGATTTGCAGTCAAACATGTTGTTGCTGCTGCTGCTGCAGTTCTGGGTTCCATTTTGGTCACCACTGAAGTTCTGCAACCTGTAACCCCACAGACTTTTTAGGAATGTCAGAATCACCTTTTGCATCATAATTCAACATCACGGAAAAATAGACGAGGATCCAGCCAGAGCGTAAGAGCATAAGCGGTATGCTTCCCTTTCAAAAGAGGGGACGAAGTTAACCTGGCTTGAGTCAGCAGCAGTAATTAAAGGTTAAGTTTGGTTTTCTAACAAGGTGGAGACACAAATGTCAAAACAGATGCCAAATGTTTCACTGCCGTGTGTATATGTCACCGACTGCAAGAAGAAATACACAGCAAAGCCTTGATAACCTTCTCGGAGGCAGTCTATTCTGTTTCTTTTTTCTCGATAATCATCTAACTGGTGGAATAGTTATCATGCTTCATCCTCTGTTAAAGGCTATCTCCTTTTCAGGTATTCATCCCTTTTCAGGTATTCATTTTTACGGGAGGGCGGTGGGGAAATAAAATGGAAGCTTATGGGGCGGGGGGGAGAGCAATAAATAAGTAAAATTAAAATGGCATGGAAATGTAAAAAGGTAAAGGTGAATGGCCCCTGGATGCAAGGACAGGTTAAAACTGGCTAGGGGGCAATTCTATCACTCATAAATGAAACATTCCTATTTGGCTAACTTTGACTATCCGGCAGCTAAAATGCTGAGCTGATCCAGAGGCCTGTTGTATGCGATGAATGTTGATGGGAATGCTATCCTGATTCCAAAGCCTCCTCCATTGTATCCCATTTGTTCTTTTCACCTCCTAATAATGTAAATTGCCTCAGTCAACCACTTAAGAAGCACAAGCACCACCCTATGATTTAGCACAACACACCCACTGCAAATAAGGAGAACAGTCAAAGCAAAGCGCATGTAGAACAAATCAACCTGCCGCCTGGAGACCTACTCATTCAAAGCTAAGAAAAGAGCAAGGGGAAGGAAGGGGGGGGAGAGAAAAGGCATTCAAGGAAACACAGCACTACAGTGGTACCTCAGGTTACAAACACTTCAGGTTAAAAACTTCACTAACCCAGAAGTAGTACCTCAGGTTAAGAACTTTACCTCAGGATGAGAACAGAAATCGTGAAGCGGTGGCACAGCGACAGTGGGAGGCCCCATTAGGTTAAGTGGTACCTCAGGTTAAGAACAGTTTCAGGTTAAGAACGGACCTCTAGAACGAATTAAGTTCTAAATCCGAGGTAACATTGTACTTGGAGGGGGGAACCCAATAAAAATGCCCAATCAATATCTAATCATTCTCTTGGTTTGCACATGTATTTGCATTTCACTGTGGATGCAAAAGTGATTTTATTTATTTAAACAAATTTATTAAAATCGTTTGGACGCCACCTTTTATTTCACAGAAATACTAAAGCAGTTTACAGAAATAATACAACAGGTAGCATATAAGAAAACATAACACAAAAACCGTATTAATTAAGCAGAAATATTATTATTGTCATTTATAAGAATAATAAATTACATGTATGGACTGCTGCCCTTCATCTGTAGCTCTCAGAGCAATTCGCAACGTGAAAATGCAATATAGAAATAAAACAGTATGACTTGTAGTAGCCAGAAATGCTAAGAACTGATATGGTCAGAAAAAGCTCAGGTAACAACATAAGTTTTTAATTGTTGGCAGAAGCACCTAACAGTTGGAGCCCATTCCGCATCTATCGGATATTAATCTGCCACAGTTAGAATGCCTTTGATACTATTTTTCGTTTTATTTTATTTTATTTTATGTACCTGTAGCACCTGACATATAAAATAGATCTAAGTGGTGTGGGATGAGTCTAAAAAGACAAATATGAAGCCTCAATGCAAATCTATGCAATGCTAATAAATATATACAGGTATCAGTAAGAGAACTTCTAATGTGCTTTCCCACGCACCTCCTCTCATGCTCCTGGCTCTCCCTCAGAACTCAGCCCACGCACCCTGGTTCTCAGCCAGAGCCCAAAGAAACCCACAAGTCACCCCAAAATCTCTCTCGACAAAGAACCTTTTGGCCTCATCCTAGTCTCTCATTGTAGGCTGCCCACAGAAATCAATCAGTGGCACTCCGCACACTCAAGTCCCAGGCTACAGAGGGGTGTTTGTTTCATGGCAAATAGGACTCCCTCCACTGATACTTCTTTCTCCAGCCTTTGCACACCTCTACTCTTCCAGCTGTACACTGTAGCGACTCTACTGGGAAGTCCGCACCCATGATTCATACAGTAATACAGCGGTTCCCAAAGTATGTCAGGGACAAGCTTGCTTGACTGAGCTTCTTCAACCAAGAGCAACAAAAAAACAGACCC